GAGGGCGCGGGGCCTGCTGCGAAGCCTGGAGCGTGAGCCTAGGTGAAGCGGGTCCCGGTGCAGATCTTGGTGGTAGTAGCAAATATTCAAATGAGAACTTTGAAGACCGAAGTGGAGAAGGGTTCCATGTGAACAGCGCTTGGACATGGGTCAGTCGGCCCTAAGAGATGTGGAAACCTTGCATCAAGGGCGCACTGCGCACCGCACATCGAAAGGGGGTCGGGTTAATATTCCCTAACCGGGTTGTGGAGGTCGATGGTAACGTAAGCAGCTCCAGAGATGCCGGCGGGGGCCGTGGGGAGGGTTCTCTTTCCTTCTTGACGGCTCGCCCACCCTGGAATCGGATCAACCGGAGATAGGGTGCAGCGCCCGGCAAAGCACCGCGCGTCCTGTGGTGTCCAGCGCGCCTCCGACGGCCCTTGAAAATCTGGAGCTGCGGGTACCTCTCACGCTCGGCCGTACTCATAACCGCATCAGGTCTCCTAGGTGAGAAGCCTCTGGTCAAAGGAAGAATGTAGGTAAGGGAAGTCGGCCATATAGATACGTTATGAGGGAACCCGGGGAAGGGTCGCCTACTGATCGCCGAAGCCAAGGGCAACGGCGCCTGTCAGTCGCCGCGCCCGTCTTCGAGGTCCTCGGCGATGAGCAGGGTGATGGCCTCATCACTCACCTGCTGCATGGTCATTATGAGTTTCATGTCTGAAGACTCTCGCTGCTTGTAGGATTATAATGAGATTAATTAATCAGAAATATTCACCGTTCTTCGGGCTCGCCTTTAGCGGTAGGGCCCCCCAACCCCCGCCACTCTCTCTCCGTCTCATCAGCCTCACATACTCTAGAGGTTCAACCGGGCTCAGACGCCCAGTTCGCTGTATCAGACTCAAAAGTTCCCAAGCGTTCTCAGGCTTAACCAGGTATCCCCATACTATTTCAAAAGAAGAGATTAAATAAATTATACTTTAAATGAGTAACAAATAAAAATAAGTTCATTTGAAATGTCGTCTCCCGCTGGCAGCGGGTTGCCTGATTTGCAGTTCACTTGAAATACCCTCCCCCGCTGGCAGCGATTTACCTTATTGGCAGTTCACCTCGAAATGTACTCCCCCGCTGGCAGCGGGTTGCCTGATTGGCGGTTACCTAGAAATGTGTTCCCCAGCCAGCTGTGGGTTGGCCAATTGGCAGATCACAAGAGATGTGGTCTACCGCAAGCAGCGGGTTGCCCGACTGACACATTACTAGAAGTGTGCTCTCCCTCGAGCGGTGGGTTGCCTGCCTGGTGGTTCACTTGAAATGTCCTCTCCCGCTGGCAGTGGATTGTCCGGTTGGCAGATCACTAAATATGTGCTCCCCCGCTAGCAGCGGGTTACCTGATTGGCAGCTTACTTGAAATGTACTCTCCCGCTGGCAACGGATTGCCTTGTTGGCAGATCACTAAAAATGTGCTCCCCCGCTAGCAGCGGGTTACCTGATTGGCAGCTCACTTGAAATGTACTCTCCCGCTGGC